ATTAAGTAGAGGTTCTCATATGGAGACATTGCTGAGCAGTAGGAAATTATATGGGGCTTTTTCATTTCCCTTTAAATGAGCTCACTGGCTGGGCCTGGACAATATGGGCATGGTCATCCTATGGTTCATGCTTCCTACCTTTATTGCTGCTTTAGGTTTCCTGCCTTTTTCTCATTCAGTGCCTCAAACTATCACTTTTTTTCTTTTTATTTTTCTATCACCATGTAACTTCTTTTCCTCTGCTCAGTAGCTGTATTCTGGTGGTTCTGTTTCTTCCTGCCTCGTTTTCTGGGAGTGAGGAGTGACCTCAGACCTTCACTCAATGACATCCAGAAAAAAATAGTTTGAAAATATCCTGCTGCTCCACAGCAGTCCTGAGCAACCCTGAACAACCTGAGGCAAGCTTGGGGAAGCTCTCCCACCAGTTCTGTGCCCTCGAGAGCTTCCTTCCTGTGCTGTGCTGTGCTGCAAGGAAGGCAGGAATATATTTGCCCTCTGGAATGCCAAGAGCCAAAGCAGGATGGTGAGTCACATCTCTGTTACCACTTCCCCGACCCGTTCCCTGCAGCAGGAGCATCACTGGGTGTGGGGAAGTTTGGGTCAGGATTTTTGCCCTGTTTGTTGTTTGGCTCTGTTCAGGGCATATCTCTCTGCAGTTCATTCAACTTCCTTGTTTTGTTTTTCTGGATGTTGTTGTCAGAACATAGATTTCAACTGCTGATGTCTGGAGAATTTAAAGCTGAGCTGCTCATCTGTTTGCTCCCACTAAACGTTGCTGTTGTGCTGGGCAGTAGATCTGACTTTTCTGTCGAGGCCATCAGCAGCTGGAAGTCTCTTTTTCTTTTTCTTTAAAAATGAACCAATTTGCATTGGAAAATAAACCATTCTTCTTTCCCTTAGGGGAATATCCAAGGCTATACTTAAAAAAAATCCTTGTAAATCTGTGTCCTTACTGAAGATGACAATGAAATTTTAAACATGCTAGACCTAAGACTATATATATTTTTTTTTCTGCTTTCCTTGGATATTTTGGCATATCTGAAGGCATGTGACTTAATAAAACTGCTGCTTTCCACTGTCCCTGGTCACAAATACCATCATCATCTGGAGGTACTGAAATGCTTCTCTAGTAAAGAATGCAGAATCTAAAGAGGAATCACCATTTAAAAATAGTCCCACTGACAGAAGAAGTTAGGAAAGAAGATATATTTTTTCAACAAACCAGTAACTCAAAGCATACAACAAAATGTGTACAAACCCAGGAACAAAAGCATCGAGTGTTCAGTGCCTTGGCACAGTGACCCAGCTGATGTGAGTCCAGCAAAGGGAACTTGGATTTCATTATTTTGATGTGCAGGCTTTTGTACATCTTCTGCCCTCAGTCCCATTTCTGCTAAAGAGAGGAGAAATCTTAGGAACCTTAGGAACTTCACACTGCAGTAGAAGAGGTACCAAAAGGTGACACATTCCCAATGAAGTTTGGGGAGAGCCTGGATGAAGATACTATCTCATTGAATTTTATTTTTATCTTTTTTTTTTTTTCTTCCTGTTCTGAATTTTCTTTCTGCCCTGATATTTTTCATCGCTGGACAGATGAGTCAGAAGAATGGAGACAGAAAGAATGGGACTATTTCTGAAGGCTACAAAAGATGTTGCTGGGCTTTTTCTTCCCTGTGCAATGCGTGGAGTGTGGCAGTGCAGTGATTTCTGGGAACTGTGCAAACCCCTGCATGTGTGCCCTGGGAACATCTGGGATTGCAACAGCAACCACATCTGGATCATCACAAGTAGAGATATCGCATATCTGGGAACCCCAGACAAGTGTTGAACTGCCTCTAAATTCATCTGGGCAGAATTCCTGCGCAGTTGGAGAGAGCATATCCAGGAAAATCAGACACATGGTAGGCTTCCCACTCACCAGCAGAGCTTGCTGGCCAAAGTCCTAGAAAGCGTGCTGGGAGAGCACAGAAATATCCCTGACTGATAGAGCTTATTCCTCCCGAGGAGATGACTCAGTGAGTCAAAATCTGAGCCACGTCTCTGCCAGTGGTGTCGCCAGCGTGGTTTGACCCATTTTTTTATGCCAGCCAGGCTTTTAACTAGTGGATGAGAGTCAAGAACAGCAAGGGAGGCTTGGAACGAGGTCTCCGTGGCTTCCTGTGAGTGACAGCTCATCTCGCTGTCACTGACAGGAGCTGGTGATGCTGCCAATGTTTCTTTCTTCAGCAATGGAGAAAGAGCTGCACCCAGCTGGACGACCCAGGAGAGCCTTCTGGAGCAGATAACATCCCTGCTCTGTGATAAGGGGAAAATGGTACAAGGAGTTCATTGCAGCCCATATCTGTGTTCACATCCACCACCGAGGGAAAAGACAAGCTGAAGGAGCCCTGAGCAAGTTGGAGAAGCTGTTTGTATGTGGCACAGTCTCACTGTGCATTGAGCTCATTTTTGTGAGCAGGACTGTCAAAGTCTGGTTTGGTTTTTGTTTTTTATCCTCTCCCAGATGACTCTAGCCCCTCTATTTGTACTCCATGATGGTGAGTGCAAGCAGGAACCTGAATGCTGGCAGATTTTAGGAGCAGTGTGGAATTTTTGTTTCTCAGATAGGAAAATTTAAAGCCTAAACTTCAAACTTCTCAAAAAACAAAGGCATTTTCTAATGCAGGGTAGAATCAAGTTTCAGTCATGAAACTTCCATGGAAGATGTATCCTGGTGGAGGGAGCCAGGCTGTACTTCAGGCTCTTCTGAATTAGCTGTGAGATCCTGGTGACCTCCCCATGAGCAGGGTTCACCTTCTCTGCCCAATGACAAAGAGTGTGTCTCATCAGTGTGCTGGCACCTGCATTTTTTACAGACTACAGAACCATTCTCAGCCTGGGGATGGAACCTCTGCATGGAAATCTTTGTTTCATGAGCTGCCACAGCACTGCAGTTCCAGGAGCACATCTGAGTGTGCAAAACTGCTCTGCTGGAGAAGACCAAAGGCTTGGCCATCACTGGGTTAGGAACAGATCTAGCTAAAAATGGGCTTTCTCCCATCTGCAGAAGCATCCAGTGCTTGTGCTTCCACAAGCTCTTAAAGCACAGTCCAGGGAGACTGATGGAAAAACACTATGCAACTGATTAAAAGCCCCAGTTGTCTCTTTATTCAGTCACATCTTGTTTTGGCAGCAAAGTTTTGTGAGTGATTCCACTCTTCCCTCTCCAAATTTTTAAGCCATAATGTGCCAGGGCACTGCTGCAGAGCAGGGGCTGTGGGAGTTACAGTGCTTCAGGTGCTGAGCAGCAGGTCCCACAGGGAGCTGCTGTAGAGCTGGAAGGGTCTGGCCATTTCTGATGATTTCATTAGTGAGGGCTTGTCTGTATTTCTGTCAAAAGTGTAAATCATGTGGGTGATGCTGGAGGCTTGGCACCCATCATCTACTGCGGCTGCTCGGCATCTGTGGGAAAGTAGTTCCAAAAGTGATCTCTTGGAAAGCGGCAGCAAAAAATAGCACACAAAAAAAAACCCCCCAAAAAAAAACCCCTGAGCAGTGTGGAAGAGACACAGAACAAGGCTCATGTGCTCCTCAGCGGGGACCTGTCCTTTGTGCAGCCTAATGGTGTTGGCAAGGTGGGCTCCTGAAATGTTTGACTTAGGTAAAATGGAACTATTCCCTCTGGGGAAGTGAACTGGCACAAGTCTTTAGGGTTGGAATAAATCTGAATTGCTCCTTTGTGTTCAGAGCAGGCACTTCTGAGGCCTGTGTTTCAGATCAGAGTGAAAACCCCCTGATATGTCTCTCTTTATAAGTTGCTTTTATTCAACTGAGACTGCAGCACTAATCATGGTGAAAATTATACCTTCCCTTAGCTGGGAGAGAGGGGAGCAGAGGGAGAGATGTAGTGCTGGTGTGGAGATGCTGTTGAAAAGTTTGTCACAATTGCCAAAAAGCATGAGTTATTTTCTTCAGTTATACTTTTTGCTTCTTTTTGTCAAATTCAAAATATTCTGTCTCCCTTGCAGCCAGCAGGGTCAAACACTGGAAAAAATGAGCTCCCTGAGGTCCCTAAGGAGAGACTGCTGAATTTAGCTGCTCATCATGGCACATTTCTGTGGTGTGGGTGTGAGGAGGGGCAGCAGGTTCTGAAAGCAGTTCAGCATTCCTGTCTGTGCTTGCCACAGATCCCACCTGAAGTTTTGCATCCCACTGCATTTCTAGAAGCCTGATCAGAAGATTGTGGCTTCTGCATGTGGCAGTAATAACAGAAATAGAGGGAGGGGGTTTTCACTGTGAGCAGGAAGTTGTGTGTGGATAGAGAATGAAACCATTGCCTGTTTTCACAAGGTAAAAATAAGGAGAAGTGCTGTGGAATCAAAGGTTCTATTGGTAGGGCCCTAAAACTATATAAAAAGGTTATAAATTAGGTTGATACCTAATTTAGTGCCAAAGTTGATGAAAGATACAGCTCTTGGTAGAGTAAGTGGTGCAGAGATGGCAGCTCAGGTGCAAACCAGAGGAAACCTTTTGTGGGAATCAGGATAAATGTGTTTTCCACATTTCCTCCCATTCTGTAGCAGAGGCTGGGTAGGTGCATTTCTGGAAATCCTTCTTTTGCACCCTTGGAGACAGATGGACACATCTGATGGCAGCTTTCCATGACCCACCTATCTCCAAGATGTCATTTTAAAGTCATCATCATCAAAATTATCACAGTATCACCTTTCAGCTATGTTGCCCAATAGTCACCTGAACACAAAGATCTTTCCACCTTTAAGCAATGAGGTTTCCTCCATGTGTTGGAGCAGCTAAAGGCCAAACTCAGCCATACCCCAGCTGTAGCACCTGTGGATTGTGACCTGCACCATTTCCTGGCCTCCTTGTTGGCCCCCGTGGGTGGGTGAGGATGCTCTCAGGTTTGTGTGTGCTAGGGAAATGCCTTGGGAGCAGCTGGTTGGGATGAGACTTCATTGCTTTCCCATTCCAACAGCTTGTTGGGTTTTTTTCCCCTCTTCCAGGGACCAGAAGGGAAACCAGGAAAACAGGGGGAAAAGGGCAAGCCTGGCCAGAAGGTAGGAGCATCTTTGCTAACATCACAGCCTGCGGTTCCCCCTTTCGTTACTCGTCTCAGATATTTTCCTGCAGAAGAAGTTTTGTCCTACACTGATGTCAGTGCCTTTGCTCTGCAGGGCAGCAAAGGCTACCAGGGGCAGCTCGGCGGGATGGGATCCCCAGGGAAGCAGGGGCCGAAGGGGAACCAAGGCCCTAAAGGATCCCGAGGTACCCTGGGACCGATGGTGAGAAGAGCTCTGCAAACGGTTGAACACAACACAGAGAAACCTGCCTGGCAGTGGTGGGCACGGGCCTGAATGGAGCAGAGAGCCCAGCAGAGGCTTCAGGACACTGAAAGGGAAATGCTGTTAGATGGGTTTAATTGGCCAAAACATCTCAACCCTTGTTCCGAGCAGCACGGGAGAGTCCACGGGGGTGGTTGGGTTGGTGCCCCGTGAGCCCAGCTCACGTTGCATCGAGGCAGTTCTTCACAACTCCCCAGATAGGCTGAAATTGCTGAAATATTGGGGATTTTTCCTCAGCTGAGTGAGCTGATAAGCTATTTTTTGCTAAGATCTTCCCCTTTGAGACTGCACACTCATGGCAAGAGCTGCTTCCAAGTCAAGCTGTGTTGTTATAAGGAATTCTGCCTTGGATTTCTGCCCTGTTTCTACACCCACTCTTGATCTACTTATCTAAAACACTTGGAGCAAGAAGAAATACAGCATGGAAAGGGTTTGAACTGGGTACTGAAGGTGAGGCTTCTAGAGAGAACAGCCATAGTATGGCAGAGAGGGGAGAAAGTTAATTTGTTTTAGGCCCAAGAGAAAAATACATTGGGACAGCAGTGGTAAATAAAAGTATCTCCCATGCATTGCAGGCTGGTTAGGAAACTTCTTACACTCTATTTGATAGAACTTGGTGCAAAATCAGGAGTTATTTATGAACTACAAGTAGTGGTGATATTTCAGAACAGTAGCAAATGAGTGATGGAGTGAAGGTTCTGCTGATAATGTTTTCCTGCACTAAAAATTATGGCCTCACCATATATTCTCCCTTAACAGTTTTTGGCAAAGCCTCCATGGATTATTTCACAAGGAAGAAAAGCAATATCTGAGCAACACTCTATTGGAGTGGACATGTCTCTGTCTTGTGGAAATGGCTTTATTCCATGCTAAATGGAATAAAATGGAAATTCTGTGACTCACTTTAATCTGATGATCTGATTTAAACCCTTTTGTTCACTTTGCTAAAGATGTTGTTCTGGTCTGTGGAAGTCAGGTGGACTTCCTAGTACAACAGTAATTTGGATATAGAGACATGCAGGAGAGCAGATGAGGAGCACACAAATGCAGCCATTTCTGACAGCAAATCTGAGTGAGGTGGGGAATCTCTTGCTGTAGGCTGGCAAAGGCACAGAATGGCCTCCTGGGGTGTCCTGGTGGCTGCAGCAGAGCTCACTGGTGGCCAGGATGAGAACTAGCCACAGTCCCACGTGGTGCTGAGCTTTGCTTTGCACAGCCCAGTGCATCCCCCTCTCATGCTAACACCGTGGGCTGCTCTCTCAGTCCCTCTGTCTTTGCCTCTCCAGGGAGCTCCAGGAAGGATGGGTGCTCAAGGTGACCCAGGCTTAAAGGGTTACCAGGTAAGGGTTTTATATTCATCTCCCAGCTTTTATCTGTTCTTAAACACAACAAAACTGCCACTCCAGGATGCAAATTGCTCTTAAACTGTGATTTATTTCTGATCTCGAGTTTAGCTCTTTGTTGAGTCTCCATCTGCACCACCTGCATTTGGTTCATCTCTGCCCATGTGACCCCTGTGTCCCTCCAAAGCTGGCATGAACCACCCAGGGCTTGTGAGATCTGGCAGGGAACCAGGGAGGACTTTCAGTCCCACAGCTCTTTCCTGCCTCCTCACGTGCTGTCTGCTCTCCACAGGGACATGCAGGACCACCGGGGCCAATTGGACCACCAGGGCCAAAGGGGGAAAAGGTAGGTTCAGGGCTTTGGCCATCTCATTTCCCCTTGAATGAGCCCCACTGCTGTAACTCCCATGCATCTGCACGCTCCTCACCCTGTGGCAGTGGCAGAGGTTCCTCCTCAACCACACAGCCACTTACACAACTCCTCAAAGCTGCAGCCTTGCCTCTGCCAGTCAGTGCCACGACACCCGTGGCACCAGCACGTGCTTCCCAGACACCACATGCCCTCGTGCCAGAGGCAGAGCCAGCAGGAGCCCTGAGGATGTGTTCTGCCTGCACCCACAGGAATTCGGCTCAGCCCCCAGGCCAGAAGGAATCAGACCCGCAGCTTTCTGTGATCGGGTCAGAATAACTCCCTGCACAAACAGCTGATCTTCAGCTGCTGGCCTTTCTCCTCTGCATGGCCCTTGCTCCATGCTCCTTGTGCCCCACCTCTCGACAGCCCCCTGGCTGCAGCTGCCCTGACTCAGAGCCCTCTTTCCACCGTGGCTTTTCCCTGGTGTTTTCCCCCTTTTGCTGAGTCAGCACAGCCATAACCAGTTCAGGCTGGAGCAGTGACTCATGCTCCAATGGTTTCCTGTCGGCTCCACCGGCCCCTTGGCGCTCCCAGAGCTGATGGTGTCCTTCACACGCCTTCCACAGCCATGCTCCCTCCCTCCCCGCTGAGATCTCTCTGCAGAAGGCTCTGGGGAGAGCTCCTTGTGACCTTCCAGAACTTAAAGGGGACTGTCTAAAAGAGGGGAGCAGCTTCCTACAATAGGACAAGAGGGGATGCTTTCAAAATAGAAGTGTAAAGATTTTGGTTAGATGTCAGGAAGTTCTCTAATCAGGAGGATTCCGGGGCTGCCCCATCCCTGGAAGTGTCCAAGACCAGGTTGGATAGGGCTTGGAGCACCCTGGTCTGGTGGAAGGTGTCCCTGCCCATGGCAAGGGGTGGAAGGAAATGGGTTTTAAGGTCCCTTTCAGCTCAGACCATTCTGTGATTCTCCCTTGGTGTGGGAAGGGAAGTGATGGTGATGGGGACTGGTCAGTCGTGAGGTCCCCATGAAGAAGAGAGATGCATGAACTCTTTCTGCTCATTTTCTACTCCCCATCACCAAGACAGCATTCAGCTTTGCCTCTGCACACAGGTGGGAAGGCAGCTGTAGTGCAGACAGGAGCTTCATCACTTACAGAATGAGTTTATAAGAACTTGCCCTTGCTGGGGCTTTGAATGGATCCTTTCAGCTCAGGCTCCTGGTGTCAGGATACCCTGTTCACATTGTGCTCTGCCTGGAGATTCCCCGTGCACCCAGAAATCCCTGAGGCAGGGCAAGCTGTTGTATTCCATTAAGACATTTACACAATTGAGATGTGCAGATATGTATGTACATTGCTTAAATTGCAGCTGTAGTTTTATTTGAAAACATTTAAAGTTGTCATCTTGAAAGCTCCTGTAATTTCAGTAGCAAATGATCCCCAAATTACTCATCTGAAGAGCTCAGTAGAGCATTTTGCCCTTCACCAACAAGATGTTGCTCTGCAAAAGGACACTAGAAAAGCACCCCCTGAGTAGATCTGGTGTTAAAAGAGCACAGCAGTGTTATGATAAATTAATTCTACATGCAAGTGTCCAAGCTGAAGCCTGATGAAGCCACCAAAGCGTCCAATGCTCCCTGCTAAGAGCAGTCAGCTCTGTTAATGACCACTGACAGCTGGATCTCCTCGTTAATGCTCTCCTGGGATGCCAGTGGGTCTGCTGACACCTTGCTGGGGAGCAGAAGGAGGAGATGCTGAACCAGGAGGGCACAAAATCATGTACTGAGCCTCCAGCACCGCTTCCTGCAGCATCCAGGTGCTCCACAAAATCTTGCATCGAAGTTTTCCTACCCACCCTCCCTCATCTCCCTAGAGTTGCCTGGATCCCAGCCTAAAGACAGGCAGATTCCTTCCCTCCAGACATCTGTAACCTCTCACAAGTGTGTGAACACAAAAATGGAAGCCTGAAAGTGAGAAAGAAAGAGAAAATGGGAACGGGGCTGTGAGTACTCTGTGAGCTTTAAGTAACGTGGTAAATGGAGCCGTGCTGAAGGGGAGGATAAAATGCTGGGGAAGATCTTCCATTTGTCAGAGAAGAAAGCAGTTTGGAGAGAGGCACTGCTGTGGAATCCTGCTTCTTTGTGCCATCCCAGCCAGCTACTCCACCACATTTCATACATTTGCAGCTCCTCAAAGAGGCCTTGCTCAGAGCAGACGCCTGCTCTTGGCAGCTGCTTAAAGCAGTCCAGATGGGATCCTTTTAAAAATTACAAACTGGTGTATCTCACTTTGGGACAGGAGCCAACAACAACAAGCCTTCCCTTCTTCTCCATGCATTTTCCATTTGTATCCTAACATGTTTACTTTGCTGCCCTTTACTCTAACTTTTTTCACTGCAACTTTCTGAAGAATGAGCGCAGACCTTTCATCTCTCTCTCAAGCAGCTGAGGCACCAGGAAGCTCTGGCGGAGCTCGGTTTCACAGTCCTAAAGCTGACCAGGCTGCAGGGTTTTCTCAGGCAGGAGACAGAGAACAAGGTGGGGATTAGCCTCAAGAGGAAACAAAGCCACAATGGGGAGAAAGTCTGTGAGTCTTGATGCTCTTCAAGGGTCCCCAGAATTAGGAGTTTTCTCTGAGTTCATCACACTCATCTCAGCTCCCAAATGGCAAAGGTGTGCACATCCAGCTTGGGAAGAAGCAATCAGTGCCAAGACTTCTGCATAGCAACAGACGCACTGGGATGATTTTTTTTTTTCCCTGAGAGTTGAGAAATGGTGGTTTTGTTTTCCTTCTAGTCAACATTCCTCAGATAGTGGCTAGAAAGCAAACCAGTTGCCAGGTATTTTGCTGCTGGCTTCCGGCAGCAAGTTCAGTAGCTCTGGAAACCGTCGGCAGAGCCTGTGAGGGTTTGCTTCCCCTCCTCTCTTCTCTGCCACCCAAGTTTCTCTCAGAGGCAGGCAGGCTCACCTAGAAATTTCCCAAGTAACTTCCCAAGTTACAGCAGCTGTAACTCCAACAGGAGAGTAGGCCAGAGAGAACATCAAAGAGAAATGTAAATACACCAGAAAGGGCTGGTGCAACCACTGAGAGTTACACGGGTCTGTGAAAAACTTGGCTCTGCAGTCTTTGGAGATTTGGATCTTCTTGAAGCACCCAAACACCCGCAATACAGCAGCTCCACTGTGCCAGAACCCCCCAAACTGCATCAAAGGAGCTCTGAGACTTGCTCATCCTCAGGAGCCAAAGTGCCAGCGACTGCTATGGAGCAGTCAAAAGCTGGAGGAGCTGGAATGCCGCATTCTTCCATGGGGAGCAGAGAAACAGCCATCTCTGAGCTAGACTCCAGAGAAAACAGGACATCTTGACCCTGAGTGACTTTCACAACAGAATTTAAAAGGATAGTGTCTCTGTTAAGTCTTAAGGGATCTTTCTGTGGATGTTTTGGAGGGACCTCAGTCATAAATAAACCGGGTGATGTTATCTACCAGCCAAACCATGAGCTCTGAGCTCGTGCTGGGGAGCATCCCAGCAAGGAGAGGAGTGTGTAAGGGGCTGTCTCACCTGGCTGATTGTAAAACAAGCCCACAGTGGTGGCACACGACCAAGGAGCCCATCCAGACCACCCGTGCTCTCCCAGCAGCCCAGACAGCACTCAGCCAGGGTGGGGAAATGCTTGATTAAAGAGTTTGGTTGAACTGTCAGCAATAAAATTCAGAGGCAGAGAGCTATTTCCCATATTGTCGTAATTACATCCTGCTTGCTTAGTTTTAGGAATTGTTGAAAATAACCCCTTGCACCTGGTTACTTGAGGAGGAGAGTTAGACCAGGCAAAAAAACCCACCAGAAATCAGGAAAGCAGTGTGAAGAGTCAGTGAAACAAACAACAACAAAAAAATTGTTTAGTCTTTCTTTGGATGAAAAGGGAGTAAATTCAACAGAGGCTTTGACTTCCCATGATACAGAAGGACTGGATTGGATACAGGAGCATCTGCTCTAAAATCTGCTGTTTGTATTAATACTAACATTTTATTCACAGGGACAACAAGGTGATGATGGGAAGGTAGAAGGCCCACAAGGACCACCTGGAGACAGAGTAAGATATTAAATCCCTTCTCTAATCAATCCTGGAGTGATTTTTATGGGTGGACTAGTTGGGTTGCAGCCTTACTTGTAGAGCATGCACAAGCCACTGAGATATTGCAGATGACAGCTTGTTTACATCCCCCTCAAGTCTTTTTGTGCTCTTGTAGGGCCCCATTGGTGACAGAGGTGACCGAGGGGAGCCTGGAGACACTGGTTATCCTGTGAGTTATTCCAAATGCATGTTATTCCAAATGCATGAATCAAAAATGTTTGCCTTGGGGAAGTGCTCCCAGTCCACATCAGCCCCAGTTCATAACCTGCTATTGTCCCTGCTCAGCTGCTGCACACGGCTGTGATTCGGACAAGGAACAATTCAGCTGTCTTTACCTAAAGCAGTAAAAACATTGCTGAAGGCAAGAAAGTCAGCACCTCACCCTGCCCTGCACCTGCCTGAGTGAGGCTAAAAGAATGAGCAGGACCATGTGAGCACAGGTCTGTGTGATTATCAAGGAGACATCCTAGACAAGGTGTGTGCAAGAGAGTCCATATCAGTGCTGGAAGAATTTCAAGACTGATGTGCCCGTGGCTGTAGATTCTTCCATGGGAAGATCTGTGAACTTTAAGATTTGGAGACTTCCAAAATCTTTGCAAGATTTCTCTCAAAAGCAAAACCAGGGCTATGAATTATCCTGCTGTGCTCCTTATACCCTCTTTGCAGGACATTTTCAGATGATTGGGTCTGATCTGCAAAGGCTCCATGAATTGTTACCTCCATTCAAAAGCACCTGGTCAGAGTGACCCATTACAGTAATTTACAGAAGATTTTGAATTCATTAGAGTAGTAGTGCTGCTGCCTTATTTTCTAGGACAGCTGTCTCCAACTGTTCACTTCCATTAGTGAGTGCTGTGTGTATTTTGGGATGCATTAGAACACCTTCTTTGCTGCTTAGCTGGTGATGAGCAGTTCCTCTTTCCAAAGCATATCCACAGGAACATGGGCACTACCCACAACCTCACCATTTCTGTATCAGCAGAATGCAGGCACGTGTGTCTCCTCCTGCCCCTTAAATCACGGTTACATTCATTTTTCTTTCTCATTGCCACAAAAGAACAAAGACATGTTCCCTCTCTGTTCTTTATTTAAGGGTCAGGAAGGGCTTGATGGAGAAAGAGGAAAACCTGGGCAGCAAGGCTTACCGGTAAGAGATGCTGTTTATTGTGAGGTACCCAGTGCCTCAGGCAGGGGAGAAACTGGGAAGTGGGAAGGGTTGCAGTTAGGAGTGTGTGGTGAGTGTGAAATGTGGACATTTCCATCAGCCAGGCCTATGGAATTGACATTTTGAGCCACATTTGAGACTTATAAATGGGTGACAAAACAGGGAGCACTCCCAGTGCCTGTTTCCAAAACTATCCTTTCTGAATGGTCCATCAGGGACTAGAAATCTTAGGAGATGGGTGGTGGGAGATGACAATGACACTGGGAAGGTCTGCTTGGAAGTGATCCATTTGATGTGCTGCTGGTCCAGTGTGAGGTGAGATCATATTATTCTACTTGCAAGTTGTTTCCTCTCAAATTGGCGAAAGACTTTGTGAAAGACTAAATTAAATCCAAACTCAAGGGAAGGACTTGTTATTCCCTTGTTATATACAGTAGCATCTGATCTTTATATGTGGCAACTGTGAGTGCAGCAGCACATTAAACGTAGTTCTTATTGGGAAATAAAGTTGAATCGATTCGCACTCTTTGTAAGGATGCTGGGAAGAGCAACAAATTCTATTTTGGGATTAAAATGGTAGTGCTCTGTTATATGGCCCAGAAATGAGTAGAGCTGCTGCATTCCCCAGTGGATGTCATTTATTTGGGGTTTGTAGCCCCTCAGATGATTCAGATGGAAGCAGGAACTTTGGATTGTCTTTAGTAAAGGTCCATTAGAAACGTGGCTCAAAAACAAGCTGAAAAAGGAGAGTTTTTGCAGGGAGTCCTTCCTAACCATTTATTTGATGTTAGTCCATAAATTGCCACTGACACAAATATAGACCAAAAAACCAACCTGGCTGCCCAGGAGAAAAGGCTGAGATGGGTGTGATGGGGAAGAGACCAGCAAGAGAGCAGTGATTTACCCTCTCTGCTTTACTCCATAGGCAGTTTTCTAACACCTGACCCCCAGGTGAAACCAAGGCAAGGGCTGCAGTGTGCAAAAGGGAGGTGGCACCAGCAGCTTCTGTGTAAAAACTGCTCGTTCTGCACACAGGCTCCTTCCTGCCCCCTTCCCAGCACTGCTGTCCAGGAGCCATCTGGAATTTGGTGAATGATTTCCACAAATACAGGCACCACCCAAGTGCAGGGCAGAGTTGCTTCTTCCCCAGTGACACCCTGTTAAATTCTCTCTGGAGACAGTCTCTTGCTCCTTTTTCCCCAGGGGCCTGTCTGAGTACAGGCAGTTTCCCTGAATTGTTTCCATACAGTCAACGTTACTAGGGCACAAAAAATGCTGTTCTTTGTGCTTCATGCAAGATACTGCCAGAAGAGAATTTTAAGCAGATTTTTCTTGTTTATGTTTTGTAGGGAGATCCTGGATCACCAGGCAAGCCAGGAGCAAAGGGATCCAAAGGTGAAGTGGTAGGTTTCAGCAGGGTGGATTTACAGTGTCCCAAGTTTAAAGAAAATCTCTAATTAAGAGGACTCTCATGGTTTTGCCCAGCACGTGGGATTTTTGCTTATGGTCTATTCCTTGAAAGGCTGTGGAGATCCTTGTGGGAGGGCTGTAAACTTTAAGTCCAGTGGTTTGTTGGCTTTGTGGAGCTGGAGAGGATTAAGACAATTCCAGCTCCAGCATTATGGGTGATTCTTGGGCAGGTCTTTAGTCCCTGCCATGGGTTGTGTCTCTTTCCCATGCCCTGTTTGTGCTGTCTCCAGACACAGCTGGCTCATCCAGCCCCAAGGAGGGCTGAGCCAGGCAAGAGTCTCTCCCTTTCATTTGAACCATGAACTTCTCTGGCTTGAAACCTTCTGGGTTTGGAGTCCATTTATCCATGGAGTTGTTCCTTGGAACAATCCCTCTAACTTCTTGTCCTTATTAAGCAAGAAAACCCAGGACACATGGATCCTTCAGGGTTCAGTGGGGCACTTCATACCTACTCCTACCTCCACATCTGGCTGTAATGACAGCTTGTTAATTATTCTCACAGCCCAAGGACTTTATTTGCTAAAACATAAGTATGTGACCTCAATACTCAGCAAATTCCTGCTCTCTCTTGGCAAATGTCAGGGTTTTTAATCTGACCCTGTTGGGGGTAATGCCAGAAGATAGTTTTAGGTCTTCTTGGCAATAGGTGTACCAGGTGATAAGGTAAATAAATTCTGCCCATCCATAGACAAGCTGGAACTGCCTTTGGATCTAATGAATAGCAGGGGAAGCACCCCCAGGAATATTTCTTTCATGTAGCTGGCCAGTCTGGTCCTCTGCAGATGGAGAAACAATGCACAGAAAATGAGTTCTTCAATTTAAAAGTGCTTCAGTACATGACCTCACTGAGAGAGCCCTAGTGAAGGTGATGAGGCTGAGTTTTCCATTCATTCTGTACAAATTAATCCTTTTTACAGCTAATAAACCTCAGGAGTATTTCTTTTCTGCCTCTATTCACAAAGCAGCATTGCAAATTTCAGACATAAGACACCCTTTTTAATTTCCATTAGCTCTCCAAAACAGAGTTACATCTCAGAGAGAAGCCCCTCCCTGAACACCCTCGGAGGACTCGCTGGGTCCTGGGTTCGCTGTCAATAAACTGACAGAGCACTCAGGGTTTTAGCATCTTGTTCTAATGTGTGTACCAAGTCCTCCCTCGAGTTCATCCTGCTTTATTTGTCCTCATCTGCTCTGTATTAGGAAAAATGCAGGTCCTTGCCTTCTAGCTATTCATTCCTGCCCTAGAACTCTCAAGACATACAAAGAATCACTTGCAATAAAACCAAGTAGCAGTTCATTCCCCAGCACTGGAGCAACTGACTTTATAAATCTCCCTTTTATAAAACTCTTTCCAGTCATTATCCAAAAGCACACCCTGAAGTCACAGTCCCAAGTGGAGCCTGCAATTTTAGATGTTTTTGTTGGTTTTTTTTTACTTGCAGGGTCAAAAAGGAAAGCAAGGAGCACAGGGCAGTGCAGGGAGCAGAGGCTCACCGGTAGGTGAAAATTCAGTTTTCTGCCCCAGGAAATGCTGTCTGGGAGCTCCTTCTCTAATACCTTTGTGATTTCAGGGCATCCTTGGGCTACCAGGTCCTCGAGGAGTGGTAGGAAGGCAGGGTCAGGAGGGTGCCCCTGGAGTGGACGGAGTGCCCGGGAAGGACGGCGTGCCTGGGACGCTGGTAAGCTTCAACTGCAACCTTGTGGCATGGACAGCAAACACAGCGCTGGGGCTGGAGACCTGAGAGGTAGCACAGGACAAATCATGATGCAGTTATGGATATTCCAGTTTACATGTACCCAGAGTGGATTTTCTTCACATACCACTTGCACATAGAGGCAGCAGCTGCCTTTGCATGGCCAGATCTGTAAATAAAGTGGGGCTTGTAACTTGACAGACACTCACGTGCGCACAACTCTGTCCACATCTGCAAACCCACCCCTGCAAACCTATCCCCCTCTTGTAAGGACAGAACCCCACCAGTCCCCTGTCCCCCCAGAAGCTGTGCAAAAGGGGAAAGGGTTTTGATTCATAACCTCTTGTGTGTTTCCTTTCTAGGGAGAGCAGGGTGACGATGGGGAAGAAGGTGTGACCGGGATGTCAGGCAAGAGAGGGAACCCCGGCGTGCCAGGACTCCCAGGGGCCCAGGGACCACCAGGATTCAAGGTGAGTTTCTGACTCCCTAAGATGCTGCTGTGAGTGATCCAGTCTGTGAGCCTGGTGCCTCTGAGCTTGAACTCTCCAAGGTCTAATAGTCTCAGTTCCTGCTGCCATCTTTCACTTAGCTAGATCTTTCTTCTCATCCATCCCTCCCTCCATCCATTTTCCAGATGTACACAGCAGCTGAATGTTTTAGAGACCTTTCCTCCTCTACCAGAGGAGCCTGCAGACACACATACTCACACTACAAACATTTGAGTCTTTTATCATTAGAAACCTGGCTAGAAAAAACGTGGGGAAGTTGCAGAGGAGCTGCTGTAGCCTGCCTGTAGGATGTCCAGAACAGATGACTCCATGGGAGATTCAGGTGTTCTGGCTGCTCTGCAAGACCTGAACTGCTGGAGGAAAATTTGTGCTTCTTGGTTTTTAGCATTATTACTGGATTAGAACTACTGGAGCCAGTATGGGCTTGGACATCACGCTGGGTGGGAGCAGGGACAAGCTGCTTTTGTCACTTTGGGGTTTCTTCCTGGTCCTTGCTCTCATCCAGGCTCACCACAGCATCTAAACTAGACCCACAGCAATTCAGTCGTTTGTATAAAGACTCTGTAAATAGGAAGACTCCAGCTGGGTTTGGAGAGGCTCTGGGATCTGATTTAAATTAGAGCTCCATAGCACATCGCCCTTGATCTGTCACTTGCTGCCCTCCAGCTGCCTTGGGCAGTACAACAGGAGGTGACTGAGACTCTGTGTCCCTGTCACACACTCACACCCTGCCTCCAGGGGAATTTGTTGCCCCTTTTCTGGCTGTTCCACCATCCTAGGATCTCCCTGCCTTCGCTCCTCTCTCCCAGTCTGCCCCAGATTGAGAAGCTGGAGCTGGTGCTGCTCCTGGCGCTTGGCAAGAGGAGGAGGTGGGGAGCAAAGCGTGGTGCTGGGTGGCAGAAGGCCCTCTCAGGATGGAAGCTGTAGAGTTAACGCAGGGGAAATGTTGGCTTTGCATTGAAGTCCTGCTCTTGGCATGCCTTCAGCATTTTCCATGAATTAATCATCAATTCCCAGATTATGGGAAACTGTCAGGCAGGACACAGAACATAGGAAGTGCAAAGAGAAAACATTGGAGCCCCTTTCTCTGCCTCCCCCCATGCAGGTGGGACAGCTCTGCTCTGTGGGCAGCCCAGGAGGGGACACAGCCATGCCCACCTTGGTCTCACCTGTGCATCCTGAACAACCTGCCTCAGCAAACCTGGGGCATCCCCAGGAACCACATTCCTTATCCCAATGAGCCATCTTTTCCTGCCTTCCATCTATGGCTATTTCAGCTGAGTGCTGTTATATTTAGCTCCTGTCCTTTGGAATCACTTGAATTCTGTTATTTGTAGGGTGAAAGAGGATTGCCTGGACAGACTGGCCAAACAGGGAAGCGAGGATCACCGGGAGGAACGGGCCTTCCAGGGAGCCCTGGCGACCCAGGACCCAAAGGACAGCCGGTTAGTGGTGATGGAGCTGATCAGAGCTGACTCCAGGCTTCTCCTGCAGGAGAGGGTGCGGATCCACAGCCTTGGACAGCAGGGTGATCCTGGGAGGGTCTTTACAGGGGAGCCCTTATCCAGCTTGAGCATGATTTTAGGAGAGATTAGGACTGATACAAACCAAGGCACAGAATGAACCCAAACTACCTCAACTAAAATACACTTGTCTGGCTATTTTACATAAAACCTTGTGCTAACAGTTTTCAAGCTGAAAGGTAGTAACCAACACCACCATATTTAATTTTGTCATTGATCACAGATCAATCTCACAGATTATTTTGTCTCTGTGACACAAGTGACACATTCCTTTGCCCCTTATTGTCACTGTCTGATTTGCTGCAGGACTAGTGACCACGTCCCTTTGGCTGAGATGACTCCATGACATTTAAACCCTTCTGACTTGCCACGTGCTTTTGCCTGAAGTTCCTCTAGAAAGGAGGCTTGGTTGATTCTCCTAATGCAGGAAAGACCTTAGTCCCCTGTTAGTAGCAATTTTCCTTTCCAGGACCCAGAAATGGGCAGTTAAATCAATTTGTATCCTTGGAAAGTTTCTTAGGCTTCACCAAGTCCAACCAATCCCTTTCTTGCCAAGTGGTTTCTCACTGTCATGGCCTTTTTTCAAGGGGAACTTCCTAACAATGAGGTTTATAGGCTGATGCTGGAACAACTGTGCAGTAAAGGGGGTGGAAGTCACATCACTTGGGTCACTCACAATTGCAGAACAACTGAGTGAACAAGCCATTGTAATACACCCCAAAAAGCACAGTCAGAGTGGGTGAGACAGTCCTGCCAAAAGGCCAAACAAGCCTTATCTGTCTCTGATGTTCCTAACACTGGAGAAGAATCATCTGGTAAAGGTTTATGACCCCTTTTTTTTCAAAAAAAAAAAAATGTTGAATCATCTTGAATTTTGACATCTGAGAAGCCCAAAAATATCAAAGGATGACCATGTCAAACATGCTGAAAGGAGGATGTTTACATAAGGACATGCTACCCAGGGTGGATTTTTTATTCTCAGAGTACATGCTATGTGCTGATTCAAGCTTGACGGTCTTTCAACTATTTTATTATTATTTTTCTTACAAACTTAAGGAAAAATCCCCACAGAGTAGAATAGGAAAAGAATTAGAGGATATGCATGGTTATCCTGGGCTTGAGTAGGAGGTTATGTTGTATGAACATTTTAACAGCTTGAATGAGCATAGTTTAAAAATACAGTTTGTATCAGTAGGTCAGTCCAGTTTGTATTAGAAATAAAAGAGGAGCTTGTTTTAAAGAACTTTGAGGCTGTTATTTTGCAGCATGAAATTCCAAGATAAAAACTCAGAATAGATGCTCTGCATCCTGCTTCTGCTGGGCCAAGCCAGAGAAGCATCTGCTGGGAATAGTGCAGGTTTGCCTCCCAATTTGGGGGCAAAAAGGTGGCATTGGTGAGATCTAAGGGATCCAGTGAGTCCATTCGAGCCTGATGTTTGTGTAGTTCCTCCTCCAGGGTTTTTTCCTTCTTCTTTCTCATCAGTCCTGTTTAGACTGAGGGATACTCAGAGATTTCTCTTTCTCTGGAGCTGCTGAACTCTTGTTGCATCTCTGAGTGACATCCCCAGCCATCAGTGTGAATTTACTCTTGTCCTTTGTTCTTGTATTTGTCTTGGCTGTCGTGTGCAGGGCGACTTTGGAGAGGCAGGATTTCCAGGGATTGCAGGACTGTTTGGGCCAAAGGTAAGAGGCTGCTGGGGACCAGCTGGTTTTCTGGTCTCACTTTACTGGGGACAGGCAGTGCCACACTTGTTGCATTTCTAGCAGCTCTGCAGAAACTATGGAAATTGAATTTTGATCCAAACTTTCTTTACTTGGTGAATCTCCATTTGTTAAGTGAGTGTGTGCTTACATATGCTTTGTTGGAGGAAAAGGGCTCTCCTAGAGATTCTGTGGCTGTTTTCTCTCTTTCTGACATTTATATTTCCAGTATCAACCATCAGCCTGCACCTGAGACACAGATGTGTACCCCTAACACTGAGAGCTTTGACTCATTTTATCAGCATATCATTTCCCTAGTGAAGAGGAAACTTTTCTGTCAAAAGCAAAATCCTTACAAAACAGGAGTGGGAAAAGAATTTACAACAGTTTGGATCTTCCCAGTCCCACAGACAAGAGGCAGCACCCCTGTCCTTAAAGCAGAGCTCTAAGCAAGGGCATAAACACAGGGCTTGGTGATTTAGTGGACCTCACATCTCATTTTTTGCTCACAGGGCCCCCCAGGAGACCTTGGGTTCAAAGGTATTCAGGGACCACGTGGACCACCAGGTCTCATGGTGAGTGATTTTCCAGTTTGTGGGTTTGGGAGGATTTTCTTCCTTCAGCCCTGTTTCTGTCAGGCTGCAGGGGCTGTGAGGAGCACAGTGACCACATCTGCACAGGGCTTGGAGACAGCCACGCTGCACTGAGCACTCCAGCCACACTGAAATCCTTCTGTTTATGGAATTTCTGAGGTTTAACAAGGCTCAGGACGACCATACTGTGAGGACTTGTCTCTTTGGACTTGCAGTTTGAAATGGTTTTTTATTCCAGATACAGCAAATACCACCAAGTTGTGAAAAGCAGCAGAGATTCAGTGTCTTCACTGAGTCTGCCCTAGTGAAAATGAGTGTCAGGTCCCACGTGGTGGGTCACACATCTTGTCTTTTCTAGGGAAAAGAAGGAATTATTGGTCCTCTCGGCATTCAGGGTCCCACAGGAAGCCCTGTAAGTATCCACACTTCTTCCTGCCTGTACTTTTTGGGAGTTTGTGTGAGATCCAAAATGCTTGAGGCCAGCACAAGTAACCCCCAAATCCTGCTGTAATCAGGAAAACAAAATGGGTTTTAAGGTCAGCAGCTTCAGAAAAGTGCAGGCTTAGTCTCTGGCTGCACAGATAGTTGCTGGCAGAGTATTAGCTGAAAAGTGAGGAGCAGCCATACATAAGTGCAAGATTTTCAATGTCAATGGAAGACAAGATTTTTGAATGCCAGATTTTCCAAAGAACTTGGCCTGGGGTGGGGGAGGAACACATTTAAATAATTATTATTTTAAAAATGTATTAAACTGGGAACCACTTGATTTTGGGAAGTGTTGAAAATCCCTGCCTGCCCTAAAGATGATCCCCACAGATGAAAGATCAGGTGAGCTCTTCATGAAAACACAGGCATAGCACCACTCAGAGCTCTGTCCAGAGGCTGCTACTGGCAGAGATAAAAACCAATAAGATGAGCTCAAACATTGCCAAAACAGGCAGTAATGGCATTTTTTGCTTTGGGATGGGGAGGCCAACGTGACAAGCTGAGGTGATGAGTTAGAGATGCTCTGGAGTCCTTGCAAGGAGCTTCTGGGGGGCAGCACCCAGCAAGGCAGGTTGTGAATGGTCGGTGACAGCCACCTCCTGTGCTTTGCAGGGGCCCAAGGGTGACAAAGGCAGCCGTGGGGAGATGGTAAGTGCTGGTCCCACCCCGATGCCCCCAAGAGGGTCCCTGACTTTGAAGAATCGAGAGTCATTCCCGGCTCTGCTGTGACCACGGGCTCCCATGAGGGCAAGACACTGATTACACATCCACACTACTCTGCTGGTAAAATTTGCATTTCCTTAACCCAGCAGCACTTCACCATGCTGTCCACAGCTGTGGTATCTCCAGCCCTCACACAGGTGCCTTGGGAACAGCACAGGGAGATTTGGGGTCAGTAATGAGCATTTTCTGACAGCTTCTCCTTTTTTTTTTTTCCCCTGTAGGGTCTTCAAGGTCCAAGGGTAAGTGTCTGACATCCCTTTTTCTGATTGATAGTTTGTATTTAAATAAAACAGTTGCTTTTAGCAAGTGTAAAGCTGCAGGGTGGGTGATTGCACACATGGAATGTGATGAGTACCTGGGGATGTGGCATTAGTGACAGCTGAGGAGCTTAACGGGCTGGGAACAAGGGATGCAGCAGGAATAGACCAGGTGCAGACAAATGTACCCAGAGCAGGGGCAAAATGGGGCCACCCCCTTGTCCTCTGAAAGTTTTGGGGCTGCTGTGAGGTGTCAAAAATCCAGCTGGGAGCAGATTCCTGCTGGTAAAAAAACCAGAAATGGAAATAAAAACTGGAGATATTTCACTAACTGATGCCACTCTGTCTTTAGGGTCCTCCAGGCCCTCGAGGACACCCTGGCCCTCCGGTACGTAGATGTGGGAAGGGTTCATGACTGAAAGAAGCTGAAATGGTTGCTGTGACGCTCTCCAGAGGGACTGCTCCCTCCCTGGAAATTACAGCTTAGCCCCATTCCTCATATGCAAAACCATGTGTGTGAATGGACCAGTGTTTCTTGTGCTTTAGTCCAAACCATCCCAAGAGTTTCATAGAGCCAGCATTGTTGCCTCTCTCACTTCTCTCCACGGGAAGGGGGATTTCAAAAGGCCATGGCTGAATATCTGTGCAACAGTGACTGCCCAGCTTTCTGGCTGATGCCCCCTTTTTTCCCTCTGCTTTCCAGGGACCGCCAGGAGTTCCAGCCTCATTTGTAAGTTGCCATTCTCTGTATTTTTGTTAATGATGGTAACAGGTCCTGCAGGGCCCATTGAGACACACACCAGGTCCTGCTCTGTCAGCAGGGCAATGCTCAAACTGCAGCCTTAGACTGAGAAGTGTTTTCCTGTGTCAGGGCATGTTCAGCTTCTAACAGTCTCAGTTTCCATCCTTTTCACACCACACCAGCAGCAAGATGGCTTTGGGGCAGCTTTCCAGACACTGATCGACTCCAACACCGCGCTCAAGAGAGAGGTACGAGGGAATTTTTTAACTCTCTGGCCTCTGCTTGATCTGGAGACTGGGAATGGTCTCTTCAGTGCTTTCTGTGTGCAGAAAATTTATACAAAGCTCTGCTTTGTCACTGTTCTAGTGGAATACCCAGAATTTATGCAGGCAAAGGTCCAGTCAAAGGATATATTTCTGTTGTGTCACTGATTTGTGAAGCTTCAGACCTCCTGACTTTGCCATTGTGACTTTGCCAGCATTTCAGCAATGTTCTGTTTGGGATAATACAAGGCCTGTGGCTCGCTGGCCCCATGCCAGCACAGCCTTTGACCACTGATTTTTCTCAAAATGATGCAGGAGCCCTTGTGGTTGCAGCACCCTGTGCCCCCAAGGCACCCCTGACTGACCTTCTTGTCTCTCCAGGGTTACCAACATCCAGACCTTCTCATGCTGGACCATGGAGGGGAGATCTTTAAGACTCTACACTACCTCAGCAACCTCATTCAGAGCATTAAAAGACCCCTGGGAACCAAGGAGAACCCTGCGCGCATCTGCCGGGACCTGATGAACTGTGAACAGAAGATGACCGATGGTAGGAAGCCCCAAATGTGCAAAGGCTGCATCCTCCACAGGGCTGTTTCACGTGGTCTCCTTCCCTGGGACCAGTCACAAAGAAACCAAAACTCCCATTTGGAAAGGTTAAGTGCCCTTGTTAATCCCTGAACCCTCCATTTCCTCAGGTACCTACTGGATTGACCCAAACCTTGGCTGTTCCTCAGACACCATAAAGGTCATCTGTAACTTCACCAACGGTGGCCAGACGTGTCTCAGCCCTGTCACTGTCTCCAAGGTAGGCACAGCTCAGCCCCACACTGCTGTTGCCCAATATTGACGCAGGGTGTGTTGTCCCAGGACACCGGACAGTGACCACGAGGACACAGCGCACAGGCTGGGGGAGGATTAGTGCAGCTCCAGCACCCAGCACTGCTCTCAGGAGTTAAAAAATACATCTAAGGCTGTTATTGGCTCTTGTCAAGACAAAGCCATGTGTTACAATGATGTTTAAAGAACCCACAGGCTTAACATGACCGGTAATTTCACAAACATGCTGCTCCCAAGTCCTTTATTGACCTGACGTATGTTTGGGTCACGCTCGCATTTTGTTTTCCGCCACCTGGAGAAGTGAGATCAGCTTAAATAAACAAGTTTCCAGTGAAGTTATTGCTATGGGATTTTTGTTGAGGAAGTACCTGTACTAAAAATACAAATAGCAATATCTGGGCTTGTTTGCAGATGAACTGGAACCTGCTTTGCAAGTTGTATTGAATTGAAAGTTTACATTCTTTTCCTCCTATTCAAGGACCTTCCAGTTTTTTCTGCAAAGCAAAGGACCTGCTGTGTCCCCATGAAAACTTTCCAAAATGACTTGGCATCTGTCCCTCCTGTCCATATTCACCTCAGATCCAGCTTTGGAGCCTGGTGCAGAACGAAGCAGAGGACAGGGACCCCCTTTGCAATCCTACCTTGCACTATCCCTGCTCCCCTCAGCCCCTCTGCAGGGTCCCCCTATGACCTCTCTGTCACCTTACAGCTGGATTTTGACATCGGGAGGGTCCAGATGAACTTCCTGCGCCTGCTGAGCTCGGAGGTGGTGCAGCACATCACCATCCACTGCCTGAACACCTCTGTGTGGCGCGAAGGCTCCGCTGAGAAACCCTCGGAGAAAGCCGTGCGCTTCAGGGCCTGGAACGGGCAGATGTTTGAAGCCAGTGGGCAGCTCAGGCCAGAAGTGGCAGCTGATGATTGCAAGGTATGTTGTTGTGAAAGAGGGGGGAAAAAATGGAGAGAAATCCCAGAGCCCGCTCTGGGGCTCAAGTAACACCTATGCTGCTCATCCTACAAGGGAGAAGGGTTGGGTATAGCAGTTCTCCAGTAATTTTCCAGGCTGGGTGCTATAGCAGCTCCTGTGAAGCAGATGGCCTTCAAATAGAAAGCAAAAGATGAAATTCTGAAGTTACCTGTCGTAGATAGCAGCAGTTAAGTGACAGAAGAGGAAATGGCTCCCCATGGGTGATGACCCTGGCTCTTGTCTGGTGCCACGTGGAGTCAGGAGACACAGGGCTGCATTTGGGCCCACAGCATTAGGAGTTTGTCTTGGTGGTACCACTCCAGCTCCATTTCCATCAGCCTGATAAAGGGCTCCCCAAAATGCTCTCTAAGCCCACCCCAGCCCTGCTCAGCCCAAGGGACAGCCCCTTGTCTCACAGAGGGATTTTCAGGCTTACAGCCCATGGAATACATTCCTTTCCAGCAGGGTTCACCCCCTGGTTCAGCAGCTTTCTCTCTGTCCCCCCTCCCCACACAGATCAAGGATGGGCGCTGGCGTCGGACCCTCTTTTCCTTTCGGACACAAGACCCTCAGCAGCTGCCAATTGTCAACATCTACAACCTGCCCCCGTCCGAGCCAGGACAGCAGTATCACCTCGAGGTCGGCCCCGTCTGCTTCCTCTGAACCAAGCTATGGAACGCGGGCTCTGAGGCTCCAATCCCACCTGTGGCCTGTCCTCACAGGGGCTCTCCCCCCTCTCTGCAGCAAGGACAGCTGGGCTGTATCTTTTGGGTCAACTCTTGCTCCAGCCTTTGGCTCAAGGTCTCCAAGAACCCATGATCTACTGAACTCAGCCAGTTGTTGGAAGGAGGAAGAACAAGGACGTGGGGGAAGCGGGCATCAGTCAGGACGTGAGCGGTGAAAAGGGAGCAGGGGACTGGGTGTTGTGGTTCCACACACAAAGCCTTTTCCATGACCAAAGAAAACATTGACAGAAACCTCAAGCGACTTGCAGCGTGTGGGTTTTTTCGTTCTTTTCCCCACCCCACCCACCCATTTTTGTCTGGTTCCCGAGTTACCAAACGCTCTTTCCATTGAAAAAAAAAAAATAATTAAAAAAATAGAGCTTCCCTCTCAGAGCTTGTCACCTTCTGGACAGCCACGTGCTGCATCAGGTCTCCCAGGCGGAGCTGCAAGTTGAATCTGGCTGCTCTGTGTACAGGAAGCATTTTGATGTGCAATATTAGAAGAAACAAAATATATATATTATATTATTTAAAGCAGAAAGAAAAAAGAAAAAAAAAAAAAAAAGAAAAAAAAGCCAAGTTCCTCCTTCCATGAGTTTAATCAACACTCCCCCTCTCAACGTGTGGTGTTGGAGTAGGGGAGAGTCATGAAGTAAAGAAGGGGGACTGGAAAGAGGAGAGGGGAAGAGATTGGTGCTAAAATAGAGAGAGGGAATGGGCTCATCTGATTTGTTTCTACCTCTCACTGTGAAATCTCTGGTGCTCTTAAAAAAGTGTGTTATTTTATATATATGACTTTATTTAAGGTTGTGAAGGTGCTACAATGTCTTGCCACAGACCCAAAAAAACAAAAAGCCCCATAGAATAATCTCTCTGGGAAGAGAGGAGATTATGTGCTACAGTTAAATCAGAGAAACAGCCATCCTTAAAAGGGATCCTTCAGTGGCCATGGGTGTCAATAACACAACTCACACCACAGCCAGCATCACTTATGGGATAATTTACAAACAAATTTGCTTTTTTTCTTTTTTTGTTCATCAGCACTTCACTACTTTGGGAGGGGAGTGAAGGACACAGCTCATCCAGAAGTGTTGAGCCTCAGAGAGCTCCTCTGGTGTTGGTTGAGTTGGGCTGTACTGAGTTCCCATATGACTCCCTGGACTAAGCTCACATTTAAACCGAGCTCTGCAACTCTTCCCTCGGCCCCTCTGTCAAGACTGACATGATGGTACCTTGTTTCAGAATCCAGCTGAGCTTGGAAGGGTTTTGTTTTGTTAAGTTTTGTAGAAATTTAGTCTCTATATGTAAATTTGGAGGATTTTTTTTTTTTTTAAAGAGGATAATTATGGTAATCTTTAATTCTATATAAGGAATAATATTGATGTAATCAGAGCTGTACTGTATCAGAAACTCTTCAGTGCCTGTTTGGAGTTTTCATGTCTCATATGGACTATGGATTTTATTTTTTTGAGGGAAAAAAAAATTATCTGTGAGTCTCTCTTTGTGTATTTTTTTTTTTTTTTTGTCACTACTGCCTGCTGGTTGGTTCCCAACCACCATCAGAAAAGGTTAACAGGATCTGTCCCTAATACCTCGCTCTCCACGCAGCCCCTGCCAGAAATACCTCATCCCCAGGCCAAAATCACCACCACCCATCATTTGCTGCCTCCCTGCACACCCCCCATACTCCAGATCTCTCCATTTCTCATCCCATGCCATTGATTTTGTGTTTTCTCAAGGCTGCAGGTACCATTTGTTCTTCTTAAAGCTTTTTTTTTTTTCTTTTCTCTTTTTTTTTTTTTTTTTAACTTTAAATAAATATTTAAAACTGAGGCAATGGAACAGGACTGGAATGGTTTGGTTTTTTTTTTTTGCTTCTTCATAAAAAACCAGGTGGGCAAGAGGTGCAGAAATACCCCATCTCCCAGGGGTTCCCCCAGGTGACCTGAGGAGCCAAACCCACACCTCAGACCTTCCCCTGATGCCAAATGCACAACAAAATTGGGATGCCCTTGGCTCCCAACTGCGGTGCCTCATCCCAGTCCCCATCCTGCCACAGCACTGGGGAGCAAGAAGGAAAAAAAGTAAAGGGAAAATGAGGTGGAGGGGGAAGGAGGATGGGAGAGAAAAGGAGAAAGATGAGGGCAACAGCAAGGGGCAAAAGAAGAGGGCAGCAAAGAGAAAAAATATCCTGTTTTGTTTGGGACAAAAAGCCCAGGAGCTGCCTTGGCCAGCGCCGGTTGCGACAGGGGCAGCGGGAAGGGCTGAGCCGTGTTTGCCCAGCCCTGCTCTGCCCCTTCCCAGCACTGCTGGCACCAAAACCCGGCCCCATTGTCCCTGCCACAGGTCCTGAAGCAGCTGCTGAGGGCAGAGTGAAAGCAAACACGTTTCATTAATTAATCACCACACTTAATTACGATGCCAACATTAGAGGAGCCGTACGGCGCTGTTAAAATAGGGAGATGCTGCGTTTGAAGTTAAGTTGCAATTTATAGGTTTTAAAAAGTCTGAGCCCACTGCACTGATGAGTTCCCTGCCTCAGAGCCATGGTTACCCCATGGAATCCCCCATGGCATCTGCCCTCCCTAGGGCACACATGAGCCCTTGTGCAAGCCCCGTGTCCCAAGGGGAAACCAGCGTGGACCAAAGCTCTCGGGGCTGCCAACCACTCATCCCCATAAGGGCTCATTTGCCCTGTGGAGGAAAGCCATGTCCTGCTGCCCTCCATGTCCCCAAACACCCCTGTAGCTGCCAAGCACTTTGCCAGGCACCCACAAAATTAATTGCAATTTCTGAGAACAAAAGCTTGCACTGGGGAAGCATTCGTTTGGGGGGGCAGGGGGAGTTTCCTCCCTTTGTGCTGAAGAAATCCAAGATTTTGCAAGTCGAATTTCCACCTGCTATTGCTTCATGCCTGAGCAAACAGCAGCAGAAGAGGCACGTTGGTGCTGGAGATGTCCAGCATTGCTGGCAGCCCTATATAAGGGACAGAGCTCAGCAACAGCCTGGCAGAGCAGGAGCATCCTCCTGGACAGCCAGGAGATGTTGGCCACCCTTGCCCTCTTCCTGGGGCTGCCCCTCGCCCTGGCCACCGAGCCCCAAAGCTGCACCCCGCTGATCCCGGTCACCTTCGACAACACCACCATCCCTCAGGTAAGCCCTGCCCTCATCCAGGGCACCCTCCATCCCTATCAGCCCTCGTGGGTACAGGAGGAGGTTATAGGAGGAGAATTGGCAGCTCAGTGTTCATCTCACTGCCTTGTCCATGTTTGTTTTCCTAAAAAAAATCCAGACTGCTGCACAGGAGCACAGGGAAGGGGTGAAGCCTTGCAGCTCTGCACCCACAATCTCATGAGCAGGCACTTTTGGGGGTTCCTGCCTCCATCTCCCTGCAAACCAGGCTGGGCAGCACCATCCCAATGCCTCACTGCTCTATTTTAAGTCCTTCAAGTGATGGCAGCTCAGGTCACAAGTCTCCTCTACAAACACTTTGTTGCATAAACAGCATTTAGTCCCTTGGGAGCTTTTAATGGGAGGAAAGCAATGACAGCCTGGCACAGAGCAGGAGAAACACCACTGCAGAAAGAACTGGCCACCCTGGGAGCCGGGGCAGTGCCTTAACAGAAAGGGGACAAAACCCAGAGACCCTCACCCAGCCGGGATCCTGGCCAGGGCAGTCGCCTGCACGGGGTGCTCCTGGCTGTGGACAGCAGGACACAGCGTTTGTTTTCACTCCTGGGGTGCCTGTGGGTGAACCTGGCACAGCCCCTCCAACCTTCCCCACTCTGCTCCCCTCTGCAGCTCCTGGGACAGTGGTTCTACATCGCTGGTGCCTCCAGGTATCCTCCTCACCTGGCAGAGATGGAAGCAGTGACATTTGAGGCTTTTTCTTTCACTCCTGGTAGCCATGAGGACGAGCTCAACATCTTCGAAATCATAAGAATGTAAGGAGAGGGATTCATGCCCTGATCTGGCTCCCCCATCCCCAGGGGCATTTCTACCCTCTGGTGTCATCCTCTGGGCTGAGACACCCCACAGATTTGGGGCTGGAGAGCAGCTGTGTCACATAAATAAAAGCTCTGCAGTCCTGCTCGTGTTCCAGACCCCTGAGGTTTGGTTGGGGCAAGCTTGGGGGTATTTTCCCCTTCTGACCTCTCTGCCCCACAGGAACGAGACGTGTGTGGTGAGGAACTCCAGCAAGGTCCAGGTCTTTCCGCAGAACTCCACGATGAAGCACGGTACAGCTCCAGTTGTGGCACTGGGATGGGGTGGGGGGACTCAGCCACCCCTTGACCCCTCCTGCTTCTGCCCCCCAGTATTTGGCACCTGGAGCCTTTTACACCTAAAATCATGTCTGGAGGTGGGGGGAAAAAATTTCTTCCACCACACACCACGTCTATGGCAGTACTGAGGGACCAGAGTGGCCCCCACTGGGATGAGTCACAAGGATAAAAGGTGATGAGCCTCAGCATGGGGTGGATGCTCATCAGTGGGGAAATCTCAATCTCTCCATACTTTCCAGTTGATGAAAATGAGGTGGTTTCCATAGCCAGACTGATCCAAAGTGACAAAGACCTGCTGATCCTGAACCACATCAACATTGACTTCCCAAATCTGAGTCTCTCAGGTGAGCAGATGCTTCCCCAGGGACAAATCAAGGGCCATGGACACCTCCAGTCCTCACAAGCAAGGCAAAAAGCCCTTTTCCCCTGATACAGAGAGGGGAAAGAGGGACAGGCAGTGAGCTCCCCATCTGCACTATGGGGATCACCCAGGAGCAAAGCAACCCTAAAACTCCACTTCTTTCCCCTCCTTCTCCATTTCTCTGACAGCACGGACACCCAGTGTGAGCAAGGAGCACATGGAGGAGTTCAAAGCCCACCTGCAGTGCCTGGGCTTCACTGAGAAGGATGTGTTCTACACTTCCACAGAGGTACAAACCCCTGCTTGGCTGGATGAGCTCCAGGTTCTGTTTCCAGTTGGGTTGGGGTTTGGGGGGGAATGTAAGTTTAGTCCCCCAGCACAGCTTCCCTGCTGTGCATCCCCACTCCTCCTTGAGCATCCTACCCCAGCCATTCCTGGTGGTTCTGGGTGAGATGTCTCCAAGAGCCGATCTTCTCTCTCCCACAGCACGCCTGTCCCCTGCCCGGGGGTGGAGACAATGCAGATCCACAGCTGGGGTAACCCCCATGGACCGGGTTGTTTCCTCCATCCTCATCCTCCCCCAGCCCAGCCATGCTCAGCACAGCCTCAGAACCTCTTATCCTACCCATATTTTGGTTTTTCCTCCTGAATTAAACACCCAGTTTCACTGTTCTCAACTGGCCCCAAAATAAACTCCTGTGTTTCAACCACTGGCTGCTCCCGCTCCATCTTCTCTGGGACCCCCTCCTGCCTGCCCTGCCCAGGGTGCTGCATCTCCAAACCCACCCAGAGATGTGAAATGCTCCAGAAAAAACCCAGCCCGGGCCAAGCATGGCAGTGGGCACAGAGGTGCTCATCCCTCACGCTCTGTGGTGGCAGGGGACCCTCCCAGCCTCAGGACACTGGGACATGAGCACCCACCCATCAGGGTGACACACAAACCTGCCAACCCCCTCGAGTCTCTCCCACCACAACATTCTTAGCACCTGAACATCCCCACCCTCCGTTTTCAAGCCAAATCCCACAAGGCTCCATCCACACCACAGGCTTGTGTGGGGGTCACTGCAGGGTGGGGTGACAAGAGGGGACACTGCACCTTCCCCAAGTGTCTCTGAGGAGGGGAAAGGATGAGAGGACAGGAAAAACCATCACCCAGAGCCAGACCAAAGTGTTCAAGAGGCTCTGCTGGCAGAGAGGAAAAGGCACACAAAATGACAGAGAAACAAGATGTGCCTGTCTGACAACCCAGGGACAGCAGCAGGACGGGAGGGTCAGGGATGCCACAGGGGATGTGTCCAGCAGGACAGGAGTGACCTCTGAGACCCACAAACACCACTTTTAAGTCCAGTTTTGGCAAGGACAGCAAAAGCACCTTCTCTTCAAAGCCCCCTTGGGCTCTGCCTGGATTGGGGTGGGGGGGTCTGCAGCCAAAGCAGCACTGGGAGGGTCGCAGGTCTCATTAGCAGAGCAAGAGGTGCCTACGGCAGCTGCTCACAGGGGGGAAATGGGCACTTTTCGGGCAGATTTAAGTATTAAATACAGTAAGTACATCCCTAACAGCCCACTCCTGCCAACACTTGCCATAGCAGCCACATCCGAGGCCGGGGCAAGTGCCAAGCACGCGGCTCTTGGCTGGGCATCGCCCCCGAGAGGCACCGATTGCGACACGGGCGCAGATCCGGCAGCCCTGGGGACATCCTGTCCCCTCCCAGCAGAGCTGCAGGAGCCAGGAGAGGCCGTGTGTGCAGGGCTGTGCTCGGACAGCCATGGCCCGTGCCGGC